ATTCCACTTTTTCCACTCTGCTGTCCTGCTCTGTTGCCAGGTATAACAGTGATATCAGAGGGTAGCCTTTACTCTGCTGTGGGCTAACTAGTGAGCTTGCATGAGAACACAAGCTATCTGGGTACCACAGGAACTGGCATCCTTGCATCCCAGACACAGTCTCTGTAAGTCTCTTATTCTAAGTCTCTTGCAGTATCGGTGTGAAGTGATGACGTAAAGCGGGGGGCTTAGTGAGTCTGTACCTCCACTGTCATGTTTTGAAACTGCACTGCAGCTAAATTTAGAGCTGGGATTAAGAAAATCTTTATTTTACCAAACTTTCAGTCAATATATTTTCACTGGGCTGAATTATTATGTTGCTTCTGATGCCCGAAAGAGTGAAATTGATTTGCCTTAGAGTACCGTATACTTCAAACGCCAATCTTAAGTGAAAGAAGATCATTTGTGTCTGATAAATGAAATGCTACATGCTAAGAGGATGATGTTACAATATACGCATAACCTTTTCTTTATTTTTATTTTAATGTCGGCTTTCACTATAAGGGGACATTAAATAGGAAAATGAGGGGGGCTGGGGGCTGAAATACTACTAAAGGTCCTCCAGTAACGTTTTTTTAAGCAGAAGTTAAAACAGACAGTGGGTTCTAATGGAAACAACACAGGAAGTAAACTGTGCAGTGAGAATCAAGTGAGAACAAAGGAGGTTAAAGGAAGAGAGGTGTCAACTTTGAGCACATATATAAGACTATAAGACTTTATAGTAAGCCGCTGTCATCTACTATGGGGCTGCGTTCACAGGTAACGTAGTAAATTATTGGCTGTCACCAACATGATGACATTAAGGACAGGAAGGACAACATAATGCCTCTGACTGCAGAGTAACAGGAGTTAAATGATGAACTGATGGTATACTAAAGGTCACCACCACCTATCATCGATGTGGTGATGTGGAAAGAGGTACATGACCACAAAAAAAGAACAAGAAAAAGGGTAATAACATCTCTGAATTTCCTTTAACCTTTACTTGTCCGTGATGTTAGAGTGGTATAATTATAGGCTAAGAGAAAAAACTGGCAGAGCAAGAGGTCATTTTTATAGATTTTAAGAGGTATATAAAGGTGAACCTAAAGGGAATGTTTAACTATAATCTGAACATTTTTCACAGACAATGAACAATTAGATGAGTGTCTATTAAGAAGAAGTAATAATAAACTCCAAATGATGCTTGGCTACTTGTCAAAAGGTAACGCCAGATTTAACAGCAAAGGCAAAAAACAAAACAAAAAAACAATGGTGGTAGTTTTCTACACTATAAATGTGAAGATGGAGTGATTAGATGGTGATAGCACTAAGAGAGGGTGAATAAGGTGCGAATTTAAAAAGAGTCAAGAGCCCTAACATGGTGTGAGGATGCACAGATACTGTCAGGTGACCAGAAAAGATGATGATGGTCACACAGAAACATTGATGAATAGCTAATAGTGTAAAAGTGTGATTCATGGTTCTCGTACAAACAAACACGGTGGAATGTAAATATTAAAACATGGTCACATGGCAAATGTGTGGCAAAGAAACACTGAAATTACAGCTTACTCCACAGTACATGTGAATACACTAAAAACGGCATACCAACCAACCGAGTAGACGGTACACAAATTTTCTAGCCAGATTGTTCAAAATGAATTCAGAAACTGCATGGACAGTGCTGCACTTATGTTAACATGCACCTGGCTGAGACTGGCTACATGAAGATGAAGCAACAACGCACATAGATACCAGCATTTTTTGTCGCGAGTTTTGAAGAAAAAAAACCTTTTCAAATGCAGTACCAAATGTTTTGATTAGAAAGACCAAATGGTGCATCTGCGTTCATATTACCACTGGATAGCCTTATAGAAAGCATGATTCAGACTTTTGAATGCCTCAGCTGAGTGTTTTGCCTTTGCCTGTTCTCAGACTTTGTCCCTGAGGGCCAGCATAGCCTCTCTCCAACCAAATCAAAGCAAAAGCATGACTCTGTATTGCACAGGCCCCTGATAGACATTGCTCTATATAGACGAGTAGCATCTAAACAAGTGATTCCCAAGCCTGGGGGTCACGAGCTAAATCGGAGAGGTCACGAGATGATTAGCAGGAGATAAAAGCAAAAAACAAACAAACAATTGCTTTCTATTTTTTTCTGACTTTTCTCAAATCCCTCTTCGGATGAACTGGTTTTTATACATTTTCACTCCTGCGAGAGAGACCCAGTACAACAGCAAATGAAGTGCCTCGGGCCTGCTCTCCGTACTTCAGCTTTCATCCTCTGAATTTCTGTCAACAGGCATACAACTACAGTATATTGATCCATGTTGAGCTCAGCGATGCATGAGAGCTGTTTGAGGACAGAGAAGAAGATAGGTGTGCACGAAAAATGACATCACTGATGAGGTAACCCCTACCTGCTGACAAGGTGACGAATGATATGAGGAGTGAGGTAAGGTGGTGTGTGTGTGTGTGTGTGTGTGTGTGTGTGTTTGTGTGCACTGCATGATGTTCCTGAACGGAAACGTAGTCAGAATTCAGGTGAGATGATATGAGAAAGGTTATTTGCAGCAGCCAGGTGTTAGCTCTGTGTGTGTGTGTGTGTGTGTGAGTGTGTGTAAGGGGTTAGAAGCAGGTGGCTCAGTCTGTCATTAAGGGCTGAGTCACTATGCCAGTGTCTCACACACACACACACACACACACACACACACACACACACACACACACACACACACACACACACACACACACACACACACCAGACTCTAAGACCAGACAAGGAGAGTGTTTTCGCAGGATAAAGGGGATTTCCAGACGGAGGAGGAAGAAGATTGCCGGAGGTCACGCTCCAATATCTAATCAGAGCCAAGAAAAGACTTTTGTTCAACATTTTTTTCTTCTTTTGCTCTCAACCTCTTTCTGTTTACTAATTTTCTCTGAAATGAAAAAACAAGCACTCGCTGTTGTTGTCATCATCACTGTCCGAATCCTTCAGTTATCTCGTTCAGACTCCTGAGGAAAACCCAGGAGAGCCAATGAATTTCCCCTTATCATATCATGGATCGATTTCATGGCGGTTAGCACTGTCAAATTCTCGCTATATCAAATTGACACTACAGAGTTACTGCAAACCTCTGCCTGCCCTCTGATTTAACTCTCGTTTAAATTAGATCATCATTACCAGTATTATATAATCAAGCCATCACCAGTATGTTTTCATCATCACTGTGTTTGTAATCCATCATGTAAACTGAGCAGCAACTTGTGACTGCACCTCGAAGAATGCTTTTGTCCAACAAGCTTTTGAGTGATAAAATGTGTGTGTTGCTAGAGCTGCAATGTTAATTACACAAAATAACAAGTGGGTGGAACAAACAGCACACAAATGATTTAGGTGTTTTTATACGCCTTTCATACAGGAGATGTGTGCATAATGCGGACCTACTCAACGTGTGGATAAAGTGTTCCAAGGCAGCCCCCACTCATTGCTTACATGCTCAAAAAAGTTTCTCTTCTCTTTCTCAGGATTGACCCCCCTTGCTGCGCGGCCCACGGCACATGTGCATTATTCTCTCTTTTCCTGAACCTACTAGCTTGTAACAGAGACTGTACCTTGAGGAAATGTCCCGCAACAGATAGACAAAAAGAATGCTATGTTGAATCTTCAGGTGTCTTGTATTGGTTTTACAGGTGTTGCAGTAAATTACTTCTTATCCACCCAGTCACACACACACACACGGCTTTGGGGGCAATTTGCCATTCAGCATCTTCCTCAAGGACACTTCAACATGTGGACAGGACACGCCAGAGTTCACCAAAACCTGATGGATACATTACCCACAAAGCAACTTGACAGTTCAATTAGAGATTTGTTGTGTCATGCTAGTAGCGGGTGCTGCAGCCTCGAGCTGCTAGCCTCAAGCAGAGATGAGGGGGCTACAGAGGTCTGGTGAACCAACTTCTTTCTAACTCCACACCCCCACATTTATTTCATTTTCAAACTTGTAGTCTACAGCACCAACCAAGCAATTTATCAGATTTTGCACAGCTCCCTCTGAAACTTTTTTTTAACATATGCAGATGTACTCCCTGAGATTTAAAAACAGACTTTGATGTAAAAAATCAAGTTCAGCAAATTCAACAGTAATGTGGTCAGTAGTTGAGATATCTTGCACTGGAGCAAAGTGTGAGACAGACAGCGAGATGGATGGACCAACCAACACTGCCACCCTTTGAGCCCTGCTTGAAAGGCAAAAATCCTTCAGTGTTTAAATGTCAGGGTGTGTTTGTTTGTGACTTTCAAACAGAGTACAGTGTGTTTGTATGTACAGAGCTTGCTAAGGAGAACCTTGTGTGTGCTGCAGCGATGGCTTGTGCGATTGTCACTCTAATTGTTTCCATCCGTGTGTGTGTATGTGTGTGTGTGTGTGTGGCTGGCGGTCCCTTCAGATGAGAAGGCCACTTCAGAGCAGCCATGGAACCGCCACAGGCTGACAGAGCCGGTGCTGCCACTTCACACACTGTGTGCGTGCCTCAGTATGTGTGTGTGTGTGTGTGTGTGTGTGTCCATGTTTGAGGAGAGAGGAGGGAGGTGGGTGTGTATGAAAGAAAGAGACTTATATTACATTTGTTATATTACATTTCATGTGTGTGTGTTTTTCTGGTAAAATGGTTGTGTGTGCTGCAGTTGTGTCGATGTGATGAATGATGTGTCGACAACACAAACAGATCGCAGTGTGTATGTGAACGAGGATTTCAGCAACAATTCAGCAGCTGTCTGGATTATGTCTCTGTTTATGTGTGTGTGTGTGCGTGTGTGTATATATGTGTGTCCTCTTAAACGTGTATAATTCAGTATTTTGACAAGAACTCAACGTAAGTAATGACAGTTGGTGTGTCTCCCCGTCTATGCTGTCTTTTGAATATGTGTGTGTGTGTGTTTGTGTGTGTGTGTGTGTGTGTGTGTGTGTTCTCACCTGTCTTCTGGCTCATGTCTGTGGGCAGGTGTGGAGGACTCGGGCTGAAGTGCTCGTTGCTGTAGGGCAGGAGAGATGTCAGCGGGTGCATCCCGTGAGACTGCTGCACCACCGACACTTTATTGGACTGTTGACAAGACACAAAGACACAAAATTAATTGAGATAAAAATTATTTTATGCAATTGCCTAGATTTTTCACACTGACTGAATTGTAGAGATACTGGGTGGCAGGGGTTCAAAATGTAGCGGCTTTCACTTCACCTTCCTTTCCTCTATTTCTTTCTTTTTTTTTTTTTTACACCCACTCATTGCAATCATGTATTGCAGTGTAAACCTGCAAGTGCAGCAACTACTATAATATAGCACCTTTTTTTTCTTAGGTAATAATTGCACCTTCAAAGGGACACATTTCCTATTTCTAGATCTGTTAAGTGAAATGTTATAAGAGACAAAGTAGTGGGTAAACCTTTAAAAATAAGAAAAGATATTTGAGGTAATCCAGGATGCAGGACTGATTAAAATACTTTAATGAAATAAACAACAACTTTCACTGCAAGTACTAATGACGATTTGCAACTGTACTATTAAGATTCAGATTTAGAAAAATCTCAATTTGTATCTCTTTTTTTCTCTTGATTGAATCACTGAGGTTTCAAGATGCAGGATTAACACAGACACACAAAGATGCCGATGTCATTCTTTCAAAATATTTTCTGCATTTTTCTGCTCCTGTGTGGACATTTGCATTTTGCTCGCCGATACAAAAATCCAACTGAATTACATACGCACGCACATGCACACACACACACACACAAAAATGTACAAGAATGAAAGATAGAAAGGAAGAAAGCTGGACATTTTAAACATGGTTTGGAACAGGCAGATGGGCCGTACTTCGCTCCCATTGGTTTTCAGTGAAGCAGGGAGGAGGAGGTACTTTTGATCGATAAGCCTTTGATGATCAAGTGAGGCTGCGTGCGAGCTTGTTTTCTTTCATGTTTCTGTTTACAAATGGCTTTCAATAACTTGCGTTAAATCCAGTTATTGCTAATGCTCACAGCATGCCGGCTGACATACGATATGTCACAGCGGTTTGCAATGTTGGAGGCAGCTAACCAGGCAGCCTTGGACGGAGTTACACTGCATATGTTTGAACCAGTGTGTGTGTGTATGTGTGTGTGTGTGTGTGTGTTGACTGGGCACCGTAATTGTTTCTGTGGGAGGCGAGTATAAATATGCTCTGCCTTCCCGTGCAAGTGTGAATGTGTGTTTGTGAGTGGACAGATATGTATCCATTGATATATTTGTGTGTGTGTGTGCGTCTCCAATCTGTATTAAGTCTCTGAAAGCTTGGCAAAGATGCTGATTTTCATGTTTATGAATATGTTTGAGAAAAGTTATTTTATTTTGTACACTGAGATGGACAGGTCTGCGTGCGTGTGTGAAGTGTGTAACATCAGCACTACAGAGGGGCAGATCTGGTGCTACTTGCTGTGCCTCCTGCTGAGTTACAAAGTGAATACCTTATCACTTAAAGTCAGAGCTTCCACACGCTCCACTCCACATTAACACACACACACACACACACACACACACACACACACACACACACACACACACACTTTCAACAGCTCCTTTCCTATCCATCATAATCTCCAACTCTCTCATTGGCCAAAAACACACACACACACACACGGACTCTCATGTGTATGCTACACGACCGGCTGTAGAGCTAAGATCAAACTGCTAAACCGCTTTTAATGTCGAGACACATGAAAACAAAACGCACTGCCTCTATACCGGAGAGCCGAAGGGTGGGAGGTTTGAGGGGAAGGGGATGTGCGGGGGAGGTGGTGGGGAGGTTTATATAAGGTGGTCTGCATTCATAATAATCTGAAGAAGCACTCGGAGATGGAGGAGGAGCCTTGCAGGTTAAGGAACATGCAAAGATTGTTGGTCACCTTACAGGATGAGAACAAAGGCAACAAAACCATCCCAATGTCCCTGGTAGACATTCTCATGGTAACACTTTATTAAACACTACGCTAAGCAGGGTTTAAGGTGTTTTGTATACGACAGATCATTACTTTATCCATGACAATGGGTACAGGAGTGGTACGTGATGTTAATGTCTTCAACCCCACCGACTCTTTGGCGTGTCTCCATTTAATGTGTCTCTCTATATTAATCAGCACTAAGTCAGGTGTATTGGCGCTTTCAAAAAATGTTTTATTTGGATGTTGACATGATGGGCTATTTAGAAATCAGAAACTGGTAATTAGGCAACTCCAACATGACACCAATGCATGATTGTTTAATCGGATACAAGATTCTAAATTTGATATCAGATTGCAGAATATGACAGGCTTGATTCCAGAGTTAATGCCTAAAATTACAGTCACTTTTCTACCTGCAATCCTTAAAGGCAGACACATAGATACCCAGCAGTTTCTCTCCTGTCTGACTCTTATGAGTCTGCAGCTTTCAGATACATCTTTTGTTGCTCTTTATCATCATTTGATATAACACATATCAAAAGGTTTTGTAATTAATTTCTGCAAACACACAGATTCACATAGCTCTGTCAAGGGAAAAGGAAATCATCCAATTTCACATTTTCAGCATTTGCAATGACATTTTGCAGGGAAAATCCCAAAACTGGGTTTTAGCATCAGCAGTGAGCGCCATCAGAATGCATGCGTGCATGAGGTTACATGACATTAAAATCTGACTGAACCTTGAATGTAAAAAACTGTTTTCACATGTTACATAAAAAGACTATTATATTGTACACCGACTGAACCGATGGATCTGCAAAAACATTGGTATTCACAGACACACATCACACATACAGAATATACAGAAGTGTGAATTCAAATCACGCTCACCTACAGTGCATGTACAGACATATGCACACACACGTTTTACTTCGACAGATTTTGTACATATGGATGCAAACACACACACATCTGTGCAGGGCTGTTAGGAGTCTTCAAAAGTAGCCGTGGCTCCGTTTCACGTGCTGAGGTTGATGTAGCCGTTTTGCTGTAACATTATAGCCGCAAAATCGTCCATTTATGTTTCCTCTCTTCCTCGGGGTAATTAGCCGGCCTTGAAGTGGCTTTAGCTGCGCCTTCCTTTTTTTACACACACTCAGGGAGGCTGACTAAGAGCACTCATTTAACCCATAATTATCAACCCCTCTGTATTTAAAAAAAATCCCCCACCACACACATACACTCACACAACTTACACATAATTACCTTAGCTGAAACAGACAAGTGTGTACATGCATGTTTGGGACACACACACTCGCAAAAGATCGAATAACACTAACAGCATCTTTGAAACAGAAACACACAGCTATGTTTTTTGTTTAAAAAACCCCCCAGAAGAGTTACACATATGTTAAGGTGTACACGTGTGCACACGCTCACACACACACACAAAAAAACACACACAGATGCGTTTGGAGGGCAAAGTTCAATCACCCTTTAATTTACAAGAGTAGAGTTACCCACCCTTGCAGACTGACATAAATCGTCAGGGAATACATTTATGGGACAAATTAACTGTATCGACTGAACCTTGAGTTATTTATTTTTTAATTGGAGGTTGTTAGGACAATCTGAACTGGTGAAAAGGTATTTTCAGATGCTCATTTGGATTATCTGCTTCACACAAAGTTTCTGAAATTAACAACATGACAGTCACACCCTTTCTGCAGCGACTAGCCAGGTGTGCCTGACTGGAAATGGGTGGAGCTCCAAGCAATCTACAAAGTTTCTCACCACATTCCCTCATATTCCTGATTCCCGCCCCCCCACACTATCTATGTTCACTGTTGAAAATCAAGTCTTTGAAGGTCAACACCAGCATCAGCCACTTTGTCTAGAATTGAGTTGTAAAACATACTGGTGGCACTACAGAGACACAAAAAGCAGTAAGCACAGCTGGGGAGCAAATGTGATAAAACAGCTGCTTTACTGCAGGATCTACATGCACTGATTATGGGAAATAGATATATCATGATGTATCAATAAATTCAGTTTCCAATTAATAATTAAATTTTATATAATCATTTTATTATTTAGACACATCTAACCTAAAACTTTCAAGTTATCACTGCAATTGTGATGTTTAGGTGGTGAGCAATTTGAGTGAGGTAGCTTCCTTTAAACCCTTTCTGCAGGAGATACCGTTATTAAATAGTATGGAACTGATGTCATGACTTCAAGAGAAACATTGAACGAAAATGTAACTTTGCCTACAAGAATATTCATAGGTTAAGATGTCTTTAAAGCATATTGGTAATTGATGCATTCATATACCAACTCTGTTTAAAGGATCATAAAATATAGCGTTTATGCACATGAAGAAACCCTCTGCCAACACCAACTGCAGCAGTGCTGAATAATAAATCTCCCGTGTGTTGATTACATCAAAGATGTAATTACTTCAAAGATGCGATTACTTAAAAAATTCCAATTAGATATCAACACCTCTTTATGTGCGTCAGGAAATCGTAAATGTAGCCCTCAGTCTCTCTGTAGTCTAATTTCACTTGAAAGGCCTTTGATTTATCAGCATATTGTTGCTGCCTTTTATCTTCACCCTATTTGAACAGAAATCTGCTGCTGAATACAAGAGTTAATGGGATCTCAGACATCACTTGTTTGTAATGGCGGCCCTCCACCTTGACCCACACACACACACACACGTACGTATGCATTTCACATACACATGCGCGCAAAGATACGCAGTTGCATGCTTATGCGTGCACGCACACACGCCTTCATTTAGAGGACCTTCTGCTGATAAAACACCTCTAATGTATTCTTTAGTTTTCAGATGACACACTAAGTAGATCCGTGTCTTTTTATATTTGAAGCGGAAATTAAAGCGTCCTCTCTTTTGTCCCCCCCCCCTCCAGAGTGCTTTTGAGTCTAATGTCTTTAATCTAATTTCACGGAGATGGCACATTCAAAACACTAATTCACTCTCTTTCTCTCACAGTCATCCTTGCCCTGGTGTGGCGGAAATACAATAAAAAATTAAAATATGGACAGTCGCTGGGGATTGACGGTGGCTTCACCTTGCTCTGTGCAATCCTTTCAAGTGGCTGC